TTAAATGTTTAATAATAAAGCGAAGAAGATGCATGTTTGTTTGTAAATATGTGACTCTCTCCTAATTATATTCTACTTGGCAAATATGCAACTGAAAGATGGTCTCAGTGTGCTTTTCATGTATTTACAAAGGATACAGGTACATATACCTTTTAAATAAGTAGGAGTCAAGAAACCCACACACTGAATCTGAAAAAGGAAATACTTGGGTTTGATATGAAAGTGATCGTTTTATACCACATTGTTATTGGAATCTAGAACATAGTGCAAGTAATGAACATTTGATTAAAGGCAAAGATAATTAAATTCAGACCTATGCAATAACTAAAAATATATGGTAAATAGCAAAATGAGGCAGGGCATGGTTGACACTGAGTACTGGTTCTCTCCAACCACCAACTTTGTGTTTTGCATTAACAGTATCAGTCCTTTGGTTGGGGCCAATCCACCTGTGGAGTAACTACACAATAAATGGAGTTGCACCAGGGATGGATTTGGCCTTACACATTTGAAATAAAAAGGTAAGTATTTTAAACCAACCACAAATTTGAAGACTTCTATGGGATAGGTGGCAACAATGCTTTATAAGTGAAATTCCTTGAAAGAGGTGGAAAAGATTAAATATTTTTTCAATGCAGCAAATGAGAAAGCAACTTGTAGAGGACCAACAGCTGAGGAGAGGGTGTGGGAACCAGAAATACATTCAGGCTACGTCTACACTGGCATGAATTTCCGAAAATGCTTTTAACAGAAACGTTTTCCGTTGAAAGCATTTTCGGAAAAGCACGTCTAGATTGGCAGGATGCTTTTCCGCAAAAGCACTTTTTGCGGAAAAGCGTCCGTGGCCAATCTAGACGCGGTTTTCCGCAAAAAAAGCCCCGATTGCCTTTTTCGCAATCCAGGCTTTTTTGCGGAAAACAGTACTATGCTGTCTACACTGGCCCTTTTGCGCAAAAGTTTTTCAGAAAAAGACTTTTGCCCAAACGGGAGCAGAATAGTTTTTCCGGAAAAGCACTGATGATTTTACATGAGATCATCAGTGCTTTTCCGGAAATTCAAGTGGCCAGGGTAGACAGCTGGCAAGTTTTTCCGGAAAAGCTGCTGATTTTCC